CTGAGGCGGGCGAGTCACAAGCTGGAGCTGAGTGGGGAGCGACCGCTCGCCCGCCCCGTGCCCGGCGTCCCGCGCTGCAGCGCTCGGAGCCGCCGGAGCTGCCCGCGCCTGCCCCGGACACCCGCGAGCGGGGAGCGCGGCCCTTCTCTAAGTTTCCCGCGCTCAAGGAGCCATGTGGCACATGGGGGGCGGGGCCGGGCGGGCCCTGCTGTGGTGGGCTTCCCCTGGGTCCTCCTGCCCCCGAGTCCTGTCATTTTTGACACGAACCAGGGACAGATCAATATTAACTTTCTACATTTTTAGGGGCCTCGCGGGCCGGATGCGGCCCGCGGGCCGTATTTTGCCCACCTCTGACTGTAGTCGGTCTAATGATATCACATCTGCCACGACCTTGAATTGCCCTTACCCTGTGGATTATTTATCATGCCTTGTTCCTGGAAATGCCTCCCCACTCCTTTTTTTGTCTTTTGGTTTCTTTATTAAACAAGCAAACCCGGTTGCGGTCTCCTTGGCGTAACCCCACGCTCCCGCAACACCTTTTCCCAGGCGTATCTGAGCCGGATCCAAGGCCGAGTCTCGGACTGTCAGTGGGAGCCGCAGGACGTCGAGGCCTGACCTGCACCCTGCGCCCAGCATGGAGACCCCCGGGCAGCGCCGGACCCCCCGCAGCGGGGCAGGCACCAAGTCGATATCACCCGGCCACGCGATACGGCTGCAGGAGAAAAAGGATCTGCAGGAGCTGAACGACCGCTTGGCCACGTACATCGACCGTGTGCGGTCCCTGGAGTCGGAGAACGCGCGGCTGCAGCTCCGCATCACCGAGACGGACGAGGAGGTGAACCCCAAGCTCTCGGGCATCAAGGCGGCCTATGAGTCCGAGCTGGCTGACGCCCGCAAGAGCCTGGACTCAGAGGCCAAGAAGCGGGCACGGCTGCAACTGGAGCTGAGCAAAGTGCAGGAGGAGCACGCGAAGCTCAAGGCATGGTAAGTGTGTGCGCAGCTGCCCCTGGCGGGGGCACAGGGCAGGGAGTGTTCCCCTGGGGCAGGGGCATGGGGCAGCACATGTGTCCCCCCCCCGGGGCTGGGGCATGGGGTGGGCACAAAGCCAGAGTCCGACCAGCTGTGGGGGGTCCCTGGGCCTCACCCGAGCCCGGAGCAGGGCTGGGAAGGAACCCGGAGCTCCCTCCCGTGAGGCCTGGAGGGTTTGTGGTGTGGCGAGCTTGGCAAGTGGGGAGGATCGGGGCAGGAGCAGCCCCGGCTCCAGGTCTAGCCTAGAGGCTCCCGGCTCACTGGAGGTCAAGGGTTGGTTTCGAAATGCCCTCCCCTGCAATCAGTGGCTGCGTGGGCAGTGGGTGCTGGTGGTGAGAGAAGTGCAAGGGGGTCCCACAGCCGATGTGGTCCTGTTGCCTGGGTTTGGGTCCTGGCGTATACCCGAGCAGTGCGCCACAGGGTGCCACAGGGGATCTGCCCTCCCAGGTGGGGAGAAGGTCCCGTGGCTGCAGGCAGGGAGTGGCTCGTGCACCTGGAAAGCTTCAGCACTTCTGGCGGTCCCTGGCCACAATCCCAAAGCCATCATCTCCCATTGACGTCAGCGCCATTTGGATCCAGACAGACTTCACCCGTAGGGCAGAGCCCACCATGTCCTTGGCACCTTGCTCCTCCAGCCCTTCCAGGGGGCAGGAATCAGGGCTGTACCCAGCACCCATCCCGCCCTGGGTCTCCCGCCTCTTACCCCCCTGTCCTGGGCTAAGGGACAGGGACTTGGGTGTCCCTATTGATTGGTGGAGGACGCCTGGCTCGGTGCCTGCTCCCACATACACGGGAAGGGGGATCCAACCAACTTTGATCCCCCTCCTGGCGTCATCACCCACCTCAGCACTGGGATGTCTACCACGCACTACCAGGTGCATCCTGGGAAAAATCCACGTGGGTCCCTTGGGGGTTCATAGGGTGCCACACCTGGCATTGGGGGGAGGGGGGGGGTCAGAACATGCAGAGCTAGGAAGGGACCCAGGCGTCCTTCGAGCCTTGCAGCTCTCACCAGTGAGCCACGTTGCCCCTCTAAAGACCACCCAGTACCTTGGCATGTCGGGGTGGACCTCAACATGACCAGACTCTGCAGTGTGGGAGTTTTCT